GTTGTACTCGGAGCGCGTGCCGTTGTACTCGGAGCGAGTGCCATTGTACTCGGAGCGAGTGCCGTTGTACTCAGAGCGAGTGCCGTTGAAGTCACCATCATGCCATGTACTGTTGTACCTAGGCGGTGCGGGGGTTGAGGCGTGGTGCTCCCAATCATTCTCACCATCGTCATCACCATCGTCATCACCATCATCATCCGCGTCGTCATTCTCAGGCTCTGGTGACCGGGGGGATGGTGCGCCGCTGCCGCCACGTCCCTCGTTTTTGCTTAGCAGGTCACGACCGCGCCCCTTGCCTGACTCCTTGCGGCCGGGGGATGCTGGCCGGGTGGCGTTGGCAGGAGCTGTACGGTTGTACTCGGAGCGCGTGCCGTTGTACTCGGAGCGAGTGCCATTGTACTCGGAGCGAGTGCCGTTGTACTCAGAGCGAGTGCCGTTGAAGTCACCATCATGCCATGTACCATTGTACCTAGGCGGTGCGGGGGTCGAGGCGTGGTGCTCCCAATCATTCTCACCATCGTCATCACCATCGTCATCACCATCATCATCCGCGTCGTCATTCTCAGGCTCTGGTGACCGGGGGGATGGTGCGCCGCTGCCGCCACGTCCCTCGTTTTTGCTTAGCAGGTCACGACCGCGCCCCTTGCCTGACTCCTTGCGGCCGGGGGATGCTGGCCGGGTGGCGTTGGCAGGAGCTGTACGGTTGTACTCGGAGCGCGTGCCGTTGTACTCGGAGCGCGTGCCATTGTACTCGGAGCGCGTGACGTTGTACTCGGAGCGCGTGCTGTTGTATTCGGAGCGAGTGCCGTTGTATTCGGAGCGAGTGCCGTTGTACTCGGAGCGCGTGCCGTTGAAGTCATCATCATGCCATGTACCGTTGTACCTAGGCGGTGCGGGGGTTGAGGCGCGGTGCTCCCAATCATTCTCACCATCGTCATCACCATCGTCATCACCATCATCATCCGCATCGTCATTCTCAGGCTCTGGTGACCGGGGGGATGGTGCGCCGCTGCCACCACGTCCCTCGTTTTTGCTTAGCAGGTCACGACCGCGCCCCTTGCCTGACTCCTTGCGGCCGGGGGATGCTGGCCGGGTGGCGTTGGCAGGAGCTGTACGGTTGTACTCGGAGCGTGTGCCGTTGTACTCGGAGCGAGTGCCGTTGTACTCGGAGCGAGTGCCGTTGTACTCGGAGCGAGTGCCGTTGAAGTCACCATCATGCCATGTACCATTGTACCTAGGCGGTGCGGGGGTCGAGGCGTGGTGCTCCCAATCATTCTCACCATCGTCATCACCATCGTCATCACCATCATCATCCGCGTCGTCATTCTCAGGCTCTGGTGACCGGGGGGATGGTGCGCCGCTGCCGCCACGTCCCTCGTTTTTGCTTAGCAGGTCACGACCGCGCCCCTTGCCTGACTCCTTGCGGCCGGGGGATGCTGGCCGGGTGGCGTTGGCAGGAGCTGTACGGTTGTACTCGGAGCGCGTGCCGTTGTACTCGGAGCGAGTGCCGTTGTACTCGGAGCGAGTGCCGTTGTATTCGGAGCGCGTGCCGTTGTACTCGGAGCGCGTGCCGTTGTATTCGGAGCGAGTGCCGTTCAAGTCATCATCATGCCATGTACCGTTGAATCCTGGGCGAGTGACGTTAAACACTTCAGGACGTTCGGCGGGAATGCTGTTGCGGTCGGGACGGGTCTCGCTCGACTCGTCAGCAGGCTTCGGGTACGGGGCGCCGGCGGGTCTCTTCTCACCGCGGTCGTTGCCCTTGCTCAATAACTCCCGGCCAGAGTGTGGCGCGGACAACCCATTTGCAGGCAAACCTGCAAGCAAGAGGTTTGAATGGAGAGAAATGAATTTTATGTTATTTGAGTTTTGATGAACATCGAATATAGGATGGCCTG